AGAGCTTAACAATTAAATTTTCTATCTAAATATTTTTTGGAATTTGTCCAATGGAAAAGATATCGTGTGCAAATCTTCAAATCTTATATCTTATGCAAGATAGAAACTTTGCTTAATGAAAAAGATAAGTGCATATTCTTAGAATCATTATTAGTAATCTTAAAGATTCTATATGGCTGTTATAGAGGGGCAATTTTACAAAGAGCTTTCTGCTATAAATATAGACATTGTTGTCACAGGTTTAAAGATGTTATAGAGAGGTAAAATATAACTTAAAAATCATATCTAAGAAAAACTTGACTTTTATAGTGAATCGTTGTTATATGGGGATGTTGTTATAGAGATGTCTGACTGTACTAGATGCACTACCTAAAAATATACATAATTTATACATAGTGGATTCAAAATCTTGATTCAATAGATAAAAATAAATGCATAGTATTATTGCATCCAGTATACACTACAACATTTTAGGCCTATAGCCACACTTATTTAGGCAATGCTCAAAAGTGTTGCCAAAAGTATCTATAGGAACACTTTTTAGACGTGACCTTTGAGTAAAGACTTTGGCCACGGGTTTTAAGGTAACACCTATAAAGCGTTCCGTTTAGTTGTAAAGATAACATTTTCTAAGTGTTGCCTAAAAAAAAAATTGGCCATGCTTTTTAATTATATTGCAACATTTTTGGACAGTTGCTATATTGTCATACTAAATACAACAAGCGTACCCTAAAAATTACTTATAAAAAATATTTTTCAAAAAATTTCCCACCAAAATTACACTTAATTTTCGGCCAATTCTCATAAGTCCAAGATAACCCTATAGGAATAAGTAGCAAAACAGTTTTCACGCCACGGCTGCTCCAATGCCGTCAAGCTGCTTCTATTTCTTCGTTGCTTCATCCTTGGTTGCTGCTCTTCTATTGCTTTTAGAATTGTAAGTTCTCAGGCTTTTAGATCTAGTTATATTCTTGGCCATCTCTGTTTTCTTTAATTTTCTAATCCCAAGAAAGAAAGAACGGGAACAAGCCTCTACAAAATTAATTTAGATAAAAACCATCTCATGAAAAAGTCTCTAATGGGTACTCTTTACTTTCCCAATTTATGATCTTGCCTTTTGGCGATCTTTATCTTTTTAGGTAGTTAATATTTTTGTTGCAAAATATTATATTTCTTGATAGACTATTTAAAGTTCACTTTGTAAATTATAACGGTGGAAAAGAAAGTATAAATTCCTGTAGCATGACGAATAGCAAACGAAGATAATGTAGTTAGGTAAGTATCACAATCATTGAATAGAAACTAAATTATTCCAGATTTTTGAATCCACTTTTTGCCTCATATTGTGAATTTGGGTATTTTCAATTTCTAAATTTTTATATTGTTCACCTTCATTTTTTGCAAATTCAGTGTAGTTATATAGTGATTGTTTATTTGAAGTTATCAGGTTTTAACACTTATTTGAAGTTATCAGGTTTTAACACTTTTAATATCCTTTTTTTTTATATGTATATTCACTTCTTAATCTGGTCCGAAAGTACGGTTTGATGTATATATGGTCCTATGTGTACCTAAGAGATGTTGGAGTTACCTTTACAGTGACAATTATCTAACTTCTATTGCATGATATTGATTTCAAACTTAGAGTTATTACTGCCCAATTGAACGAGATGTTTTAATGTGCTTTTTTATTATAGATTTGCAATGAAACAGAAGACGAGCTTGAAACAGAGGACGAGTTGAATAGGAGGAGGACGAGTTTGATTCTGAGGATATATTATGAGTTTGATTATAATTCAAATAGCATATAGCTCAGCCCTTTCTTGATTAATGATTAAAGGCACATTAAATATTAGTAGATACTTGCTTTAGACTCAAATGAATAATATTTGTTTGCCGATGTTTCCTTGTCTATTTTGTCATGTTCTAATATTAATCCTGATGGTTTCTTTCTTATGCTTATATATTTCCTGCTCGTATAATTTTAGAGTCTCACTTTTGATTTTTGAAGCATTTGGTTACTAATAGTGTGCCTCAATTTAGTTTCATAGCATGAGGAACTATATTACATCATATATGAAAAGAGGTTTAAGTCCTCTAGTTTTGCAATAAATATCCCGAGAAGTAAACGTGAGTAAGTAAAAATTATAGTTCTGAATTTGTCACTAATCTTATTACTGGAGTATTGAAAAACGTGTTAAAGTATACATATTTCCTTTTTTTATCAGGCGGTGCTCATTCAACTAAAGAAAATTGTGGACTAACTAATTTACTAATTTTCAGGAAGCAAATAAATACTGAACAGGTATATCTCTGCAACTCTATTTATCTATTTAGGAAGCATAGGGTATTTGTTTTTGTAACTGAACAACTTGTGTTCCTCTGACTTAGCAATTTCCATCTTTCAATTGGCTAAGTGGAAAGAAAACATAACCTTTCCCTGCTGATTCTAGTTACTCGTTCAGGTGTAGTACTAGCTGGGATTCAATGTTTCTAGAGCTGCATTAAAGTCTTCATTTTTTAACCTGTAGTACTTCACTTAGCATCTCAAATTAATTTGAGAAGGAGTGCTGAAAGTCTATATATTGTTCTTCTTTTACACGGTCTCTTTCTTTTGCCCCCTTCAACACTATCAACAAAGAAGCTGCAGGCTCAGGTGAAGCCACAAGGCTAAGAGTTTAATTCCTTTATTTAGTTTCTTGAATATTATGAAGTAAATAGAAACACAAGTAATCTTCTTCTTCTTCTCAGAAGAAGATGAGTACTCAACCTCATCAAGAAACATAAAAGCTTCCATTTTTATTAGATGCTTTGTACTGTGAAGAAGACACTTGGGAAGAGGATTTTTTTCACTGTGGAAGCAAAGGTAGAAGAAGGAGAATGGAGCTGTTGGTTCTCTCCACACTAGAATGGAAGATGAATCCAGTGATCCCATTTTCATTTCTTGATTACATCACTAGGAGGCTTGGATTGAAGAACTGTCTTTGTTGGAAATTTGCGAGGAGATGTGAGAGGGTGCTTCTTTACACATTTACTGCTTATAGAATCATTGGTTACCTTCCTTATGCAATGGCTTCTGCCACAATGTTGCATATTATTGATATACTACAACCCTGCATTGGAGACAAGTACCAAGAAAAACTTTTTGACATCCTTGGTATTGTCAAGGAAAAGGGAGTCAAGAAAATGACCATTAATTAAATTGATATCTTTAAATGTTTCGTTAATAGACTAGTGATCATAACTTAGTTACATATGTATAATGTTCAATAGCAGTACTTGTCTCAACTAAAAAAATATCTTGTTCTTTTATGTGTCTACACAAATATATTTTGAGCTTTTATTTCTTTATCTTTTCAAATCTTAACTATTTTTTGTCAATTGATGCAAAACAACCCTGAACTGAATTTTCATGATATGCGAGAGTGTGCTGGATCTAATATTCCTTCACCGGTTGATGCAAGTAGTGCACGAGCTATAAGAGGCCAAAATCTACGACATTCTTCTGGCTCAACTCATGCTCCGAGTCTTGAAAAGGTATTTATATTTCACACTTCCAAAAAACTACTTCAATTTTAACTTACAAAATCATGCTTTTCTAAATTATTTGTTTTTTATGGTTCTGTTACATGATAACGCTAGTACAAAATCATGCAATTGTGTTATTCTAATTGGGATTTACAAAGACTCTTAAAAAAAATTGAGTCTTTTTGCTGAGTTTCATCAGTTAAGAAAAAAATAATATCACTTTCAGACCTTTACCATGTTCTCACTGCTGTAGTTCCACTATATGTAGCAATGATCTTAGCTTATGGTTCAGTAAAATGGTGGAAAATCTTCACCCCAGATCAATGTTCAGGGATCAACAGATATGTTGCTCTTTTTGCTGTTCCATTGCTATCTTTTCACTTCATTGCTTCCAACCATCCTTATGCAATGAACTATAGGTTCATAGCTGCTGAGTTCAAGAGGTTCCCTTGAATGGTCCTTTGTAAGGGTATGTATGGTGAAAGCCTCATGAAGTTTAAATGGTCCAAATCATTGGGTTTCATTCTTAAAAAACAAAACTCTCCCACTTAAAGATCAATAACTTTATCACTGGCATGAAAGAGAAGTTAGTATCAAATCCCCTTTTGTTCTTAATAGGTTTAAATCCACTAAAACATAAACTTTATCCCAACTTTTGGAGCCAAAATGCTAGCATACAGTAGTTTTTTTTCTTTATACCCACTGGTCCTACGAAGGGAGGGGCTATTAATTTCTCACCCCTACTAAATCTCTAAGTTTTTTTCCTTATACCCACTGGTCCTAGGAAGGGAGGAACATGAACAACTTTTGTTTTGTGTGGTAAAGCACTATTCTTAACTGTCTATTTTTTATTTAGTAGAATTGTCTGAAGCCTACAATTAAATTATTGTCGATTTGAAATTCACATAAGTTGATATCCGTTAGAATTATGAGAGATTTTGGTTCACTTCCTAATCAAAGAAGTTAGAAATTATGATATTATTATTAACAGTTTTTAATTTGCTAGATTGATTGCCATATATGTTAGGACCAAATTCATCTTGGCTAGCTATTGCACTTTTACATTTGATCCTTATCTAAAGTAAGAATCGTAAGTTAAGTTGCAGATGCAAGTTGAGATAAGTGCACAGAATTTTCAAGTAAAATGTATGTTAATTTACATTTTTGCTTCTCTTTCACTTGTACATCTTTTTTGTGTATAACTTAGTTATGTTATAGTACTGAAAATAAATCTCATTAGTTCTTAGTAAGATATAACCAATGTATAATATATATAGGTTTCTTTCTAAATTTTAATTTCATTTTGAATGTGTAGGAAAATGCGGATGATGCAATTGGAAATGGTGGCCGCAAATCAATTTGATCTACTAAAGTGGATGGTGAAGACATTTTGAACAATTGTGATTAATATATATATATATATATATATATATATATATATATATATATATATATATATATATATNTTGATGCAAAACAACCCTGAACTGAATTTTCATGATATGCGAGAGTGTGCTGGATCTAATATTCCTTCACCGGTTGATGCAAGTAGTGCACGAGCTATAAGAGGCCAAAATCTACGACATTCTTCTGGCTCAACTCATGCTCCGAGTCTTGAAAAGGTATTTATATTTCACACTTCCAAAAAACTACTTCAATTTTAACTTACAAAATCATGCTTTTCTAAATTATTTGTTTTTTATGGTTCTGTTACATGATAACGCTAGTACAAAATCATGCAATTGTGTTATTCTAATTGGGATTTACAAAGACTCTTAAAAAAAATTTGAGTCTTTTTGCTGAGTTTCATCAGTTAAGAAAAAAATAATATCACTTTCAGACCTTTACCATGTTCTCACTGCTGTAGTTCCACTATATGTAGCAATGATCTTAGCTTATGGTTCAGTAAAATGGTGGAAAATCTTCACCCCAGATCAATGTTCAGGGATCAACAGATATGTTGCTCTTTTTGCTGTTCCATTGCTATCTTTTCACTTCATTGCTTCCAACCATCCTTATGCAATGAACTATAGGTTCATAGCTGCTGAGTTCAAGAGGTTCCCTTGAATGGTCCTTTGTTAAAGGGTATGTATGGTGAAGCCTCATGAAGTTTAATGGTCCAAATCATTGGGTTTCACTCTAAAAAACAAAACTCTTCCCTCTTAAAGATCAATAACTTTATCACTGGCATGACAGAGAAGTTAGTATCAAATCTTCTTTTGTTCTTAATAAGTTTAAATCTACCAAAACATAAACTTTATCCCAACTTTTGGAGTCAAAATGCTAGCATACAGTAGTTTTTTTTTCTTTATACCCACTGGTCCTACGAAGTGAGGGTTTTTTTTTTCTTTATACCCACTGGTCCTACGAAGTGAGGGGATATTAATTTCTCACCCCTACTAAATCTAAGTTTTTTTTCTTTATACCCACTGGTCCTAGGAAGGGAGGAACATGAACAACTTTTGTTTTGTGTGGTAACGCACTATTCTTAACTGTCTATTTTTTTATTTAGTAGAATTGTTTGAAGCCTACAATTAAATTGTTGTCGACTTGAAATTCACATAAGTTGATATCCGCCGGAATTATGGGAGATTTTGGTTCACTTCCTAATCAAACAAGTTTGAAATTATGATATTGTTACTAACAGTTTTTAATTTGCTAGATTCGTTGCCATATATGTTAGGACCAAATTCATCTTGGCTAGCTATTGCATTTTTACGTTTGATCCTTATATAAAGTAAGAATCGTATGTTGTAGATGCTAGTTGAGATAAGTGAACAAAATTTTTAAGTAAAATGTATGTTAATTCACATTTTTGCTTCTCTTTCACTTGTACATCTTTTTTGTGTATAACTTAGTTATGTTATAGTACTGAAAATAAATCTTATTAGTTCTTAGTAAGATATAACCAGTGCATACTATATATAGGTTTCTTTCTAAATTTTAATTTCATTTTGAATGTGTAGGAAAATGCGGATGATGCAATTGGAAATGGTGGCCGGAAATCAATTTGATCTATTAAAATGGATGGTGAAGACATTTTGAACAATTGTGATATTTATTATTATTGATACTATATATATTACATCCGATTTTGTGGAGTTTTTTGCTAGTGAGCTTCTTGAAGCAGTGGTTTATTACTATGGGTAGTACACAAATTATGTTTCTTTGTTGAAGTTTGTTTCAACTATATGCATTTTAATTATTTTTATTCTGTTACTTATTATCAAATTTAATACTTGAGATTATAACGTATATGCTTGAAATAAATGTGAATACAGAAATTAATGTAAACAAATATAATTTTTTAACCACAAAATTATGACTAATTTAAATGTTTAAAAAATTACTTTATAGTGTAGACAAAATTGCCACTCTTAGAAATTGTGGCCATAGGGATTGTCAATCCAGCATTGTTCATGATAAATTTTTCTTTAGAAGCCACGCTTTAAAAGCGTGGTCTATATGGTAACAAAGATCACGCTTCAAATGTGTAGCCTTATGTCATAAAAGCGTGGCTATATGAGAAAATATAAGTGTGGCCTTTGTACCATATCGGCCACACTTTTAAAGCATGGCTTCTAAGGCAATACCTATAAAGCGTAGCCAATAGTCAAAGGTTACGGTACTTTAGGCCATCCCCCCAAAAGCGTTGCCTAAAGTCGTAAAGTGTTGCCTTTGATCAAATGCTACACTTCTTGGCATCTTAGGCCACACTTCCCGGGGGTGGCTAGAGGCCTAAAATGTTGTAGTGAAAGTTTAACAGTGTTTAAGATGCCGCCCGGCATATAACAATCCAAGTATTTCAACCTAACACTCCCAAAATCCGGAACCCCATGAATCACAAGCTAAGAGTACATAAAATGCTCTAACTCCAGAAATGTCTAACAACAACGAAGATACAGAAGGGCTATACTACTACAGAGAATGGAAAGGGACTCCTCGGTCTGCGGACGCGGCAGATATAACTCGAAATCTCTATAGAAAGCGCCTCGCCTCAAGGGTGATAAGACTGAGTGGAAGTACCTGGATCTGCACACGCAAAAACATGTGCAGGAAAGGGCTTGAGTACACCACAGCGGTACCCAGTAAGTGACAAGCCTAACCTCGGTCGAGTAGTGACGAGGAAGGTCAGGGCCCTACCAGTCATATACAATAATATATAAGGAAGATGAGCAGTAGTAAAGAAATACAGATAATAAGAGAAACAACAACTACAACCAAGACAAATAATCACAGAAGGTATACAACTCAACATAGAGATAACAACCGGGGGTCTACCAGGATCCCGTCCTATAGCCCCAAAAGTAAATAATCAGTGGATCTCCCGGGTGCTGTCCCGTAGTCCATATCACTGTGCAGAGGGGGGAGGGATCTACCAGAATACCACATCCATAGTCCCAATAAACAGACAAGGGGGATCTACCAGGAACCGCCCGTAGTCCCAATGTAAACACACAACAACAACACAAGAATAATCAACTCAATTCAATTTATTATCAAAATCGACAGGTAATTCTAACCTAGCATGCTGCACAGAGTTCAGATAAGGCAGTTTGAGCAAGTAGGCAATTTAGCCATTTAGGCATGCTTCCCTAAGCTAACAGTAAGCTCAAATTTCAAGTAATGTAAACAGTGAAGAGATACGAAATTTTAGATACTTAATGAAAAATCGGATTTGCAACCATCAGCACAAGTACGCACTCGTCACCTCACGTACAAGGCATTTCATATATCACAGTACCAATCCTAAGGGGAGTTCCCCAACACAAGGTTAGACAAGCCACTTATCTCGAACCAGCTCAATCAAATCTATACCACGTTCTTGCCACGGGTATCTGACTCCAAAAGGCTCAAATCTATGCAAAGTAATTTCATAATATAAATAACACTTCAAGTAACTAATTCAACTAATTAATTCTAAGCTAATACGCGAAATTAGGAAAAATGACCAAAATGCCGTCGGGTCCATATCTCGGAATCGAGTAAAATTTACAAATTTAGAACCCTCACACTCTCGTGAGTTCATACATATCAAAATTGTTCCAATCCGACATCAAAATCTTGATCAAAACCCCATAATTAGGCCTAAGAACCTTTTCCAAATTTTTTCCAATTTCTCATCCCAAATCCGAATTAGATGGTGAATTCATGATTAGATTAATGGGTTATAAGAAAAAGGAGTTAAGAATCATTAACAGTTAACTCCCTCAGAAAATCTCTCCAAAAGTCGCCTCCTACCGAGCTCCCAATTAATTTTCGAAGTTTTTGATTTCAAACCCTCGTTCTTCCCCTTTTCTGACCTGTGAAACTGCATCTGCGGCTTTGCGGTCCCGCTTCTACGTAGACCAAGTCGCACCTGCGACTTTTCATTAAACAAGAATTTCTGCACCTGCGACTCCCTTACCGCACCTGCATTCTCGCAGGTGCGTTCGACTTCTCGCACCTGCGGCTTCTGGAGCCTGGACCAAAATCCGCTTCTGCGGCTTCGCCGCACCTGCGGTCCCATTCACGCAGGTGCGGTTATGACAGGTTCAGCCAATATCAAATTTTTCCTAAGTCCAATTCAACTTTCGTTAAGCACCTGAAACTCACCTGAGGCCCCCGGGACCTCAACCAAACCTGCCAACCAACCCCAAAACATCATACGAACTTATTCCAACCTTCGAATCATGTCAAACAACGCTTAAAACACAAATCACCCTCCAATCCAAGCCTAAGGATTTCCAAAACTTCAAATTTCTGCTTTCGATCAAAAAATCTATCGAACCTCACCCGATTGACCTGAAATTTTGCACACACGTCACATTCAACACTACAGAGCTACTTCAACTTTCGGAATTCCATTCCGACCCCTAGATCAAAATCTCACTATCGAATCGGAAACTTCAAAAATTCAACTTTGGCATTTCAAGCCTAATTAAGCTACGAACCCCCAAAACACAATCCGAACACGCCTCTAAGCCCAAAATCACTCAACGGAGCTAACGAAATCGACAAGATTCCATTCCGAGGTCGTCTTCACACTACTCCGACTACGGTCCAAATTTTAAAGCTAAAACTCTCATTTAGGGAGTAAGTGTCCAAAAACATGCCGAAACTCAAAACGAAACCTCCCGGAAACTCAGATTAGCAGAAATAAACATGGGGAAAGCAGTTAACAGGGGATCGGGGCGCTAATTCTTAAAACAACCGGCCTGGTCGTTACATCCTCCCACACTTAAACATTCGTTTGTCCTCGAACGAGCATAGAGACATACTTGAAGTAGTGAAAAGATGAGGGTAACGGCTGCGCATATACTGCTCGGTCTCCCAAGTCGCCTCCTCGACCGGCTGACCCCGCCACTGAACCTTCACTGATGCAATGTTCTTTGACCTCAGCTTCCGAACTTGCCTGCCCAATATCGCCACTGGCTCCTCAATGTAAGATAGATCTTTGTCCAATTGGACTGAACTGAAATCCAACATGTGCGACGGATCACCGTGATACCTCCGGAGCATCGAAACATGAAATACTGGATGAACTCCTGCCAAGCCGGGAGGTAAGGCAAGCTCATAAGCAACCTCCCCAACACGCCGCAATATCTCAAAAGGACCAATAAACCTCGAACTCAATTTCCCCTTCTTCCCAAATCTCATAACGCCCTTCATAGGCGAAACCTGAAGCAAGACCCGCTCTCCAACCATGTAGGAAACATCACGAACCTTCCGGTCCGCATAACTCTTCTGTCTAGACTGGGCTGTACGGAGTCTATCCTGAATCACCTTAACCTTCTCCAAAGCATCCTGTACCAAGTCTGTGCCCAATAATCTAGCCTCGCCCGGCTCGAACCAACCCACCGGGGATCTACACCGCCTACCATACAAGGCCTCATACGGTGCCATCTGAATGCAGGACTGATAGCTGTTGTTGTAAGCAAACTCAGCCAGTGGCAAGAACTGATCCCAAGAACCTCCAAACTCCATCACACACGCACGGAACATATCCTCAAGAATCTGAATAGTGCGCTCGGACTGTCCGTCCGTCTAGGGGTGAAATGCTATGCTCAACTCTACCCGGGTGCCCAACTCATGCTGTACGACCCTCCAGAACCGTGATGTGAACTTAGTACCTCTATCTGAAATAATGGAAACTGGAATACCATGCAGACAGTGTCACACCTCCTTTTTTACACACCCAAAGGGGATATAAGGGAGTTTTTCCAATTAAAGTGACATTATTCGAAATGGGATTATTTGTTTATTTTTACTCAGAATCGCCACTTGGGATAGTTTATTTGGTGTCCCAAGTCACCGGTTTATTTTAAATCCCAAATCGAGAAAATTTCGACTTTCCTTTTGAAGTCTGCGAACCAGAAATTCTGAATAAGGAATTCTGTTAACCCGAGGGAAGGTGTGAGGCACCCCCGGATTCCGTGGTTCTAGCACAGTCACTTAAACTATTATAATTGGCCTATTATCTGATTTTAATACATGTTTTAATCTATGGTTCAATTTTAACTTTATAACCGCTTTTATTTAATTATTATTTTTTTTAGGAAAGATTCAACGTCATCTAAAACACGTCTTGAACCACGTGACATAAATGCACCCGCGGTCCACGACACATTTTATCTAACGTTGTTGAGATTTGGATTTGGGTCACATAAATGCACATCCGAGTTTAGGAAATTAATTTAAATTAACGCGCCTAAAGCAACTACGCATTCACAAATTTTGCGAGAGCCATGGAAAATTCAACTAAATGGTACACCCCGATTTCTAAGGATTCAAAATTAATTAAAATAGGGCCATGCATTTTGAGATTTTATTTGGCACGGCACACCTCGATTCCAATTTTTAAAGGAAACTTGAACTAAATTTCGGAGGGCCATAAACTATGTCTTGCCTAATATAGCACGCCTCCAATCTACTTTTAAAAGCCTAACTAATTAATTAAGAAAAGGTTTAGGGAAAATATAATTATTCTAAACTAGAACCCAAACTTAATTCATTTAAGCAAACGGACTACCATTAAACGAAAACCGGTCCATTTCAAAGCCTAGGCCTGAAGTGAAGTCCAATAGCCTAACGGAGCTGCCAGGCTACCAAGTCCCTGATTTCTCGTAGCTTAAATTAAGCCTAAAGGAAACCCAACTTCTGAAGGCAGACCACTGTCACAAAGCTGGGACTCAGGATCGAGTACCTTTATTAACACAAAACAGTATTCAC